AAGACGACGGGCAGCTTCCTGTGCACGGCCACCCTGGCCGAGGGCACCTGGCAGGACTTCCAGGCCAACGTGGAGCTGCGGCACCGTGGCATTCCCCCTGCCAGCTCGGAGGAGCCGGAGGAGAGCACACGACGAGCTCGTGAGGATGCCCGCTGCATCTGGGATCGGGCGCTGCCGCTCTGGGAGCTGCTGGACGAGGATGAGACCAACAAGACCAAGGCCATGTTCGGCATCTCCCTGGTGACAGATGCCACCCTGAAACGCTTCGGGGTGCGTTATCTGAGGACTGCCAAATCCCTTGTCTTCCCCTGGTTCAGCCCCCGCGACGCAACCCTGAAGGGCCTGAAGCTCCTGAGGGTGGAGAAGAAGGGGGATGCAATAGCTTATGTGGAAGAGACTTTACCCCGCTTTGATGCCTATCGCAATCTCTTTGGGCTGCCCCTGATTGGCCGCCGAGACGCAGAGCTGGTCTTAACCGGGTGGGAGCTGGATGCTCTGGCTCTGCACCAAGCTACAGGGGTGACCAGCCTGGCCCTGCCACGGGGGTCCACCTGCCTGCCCCCGGCCCTCCTTCCCTACCTGGAGCAGTTCAAGCGCATCACTCTGTGGCTGGGTGAGGACCTGCGCTCCTGGGAAGCTGCCAAGCTCTTTGCTCGCAAGCTGAGCCTCAAGCGCTGCTCCTTGGTGCGCCCCGGCAACCTGCAGCCCCGGCCCTTGGAGGCTCTGAACCAGGGCCTGAACCTCACCAAGATCCTGCGTGCCGCCCTGCCTGCCAGCCACAAATCGATCGTCTCCTTCCGGCAGCTGCGCGAGGAAGTGTTCGGGGAGCTGGTCAACACTGAGCAGGTGGCTGGCGTCAAGTGGGCACGTTTCCCCGAGCTCAACAAGCTCCTCAAAGGGCACCGCAGAGGGGAGCTCACCGTTTTCACAGGTGATGGGCAAAAGGCTGGTGGACAGGGGGAGCAGAGGGCTCTTTGGTGGCTTCACCCTCCTGGGGGTGATGACTCATGAGTCTTCCTGGTCCCTTTCTGCTCATGGCTTTGGCTGAGCCCATCATGGTGGCGTGCGAGAGGCTGGGGCGTCTTCCTGGGGGCGGTGGGGCCAGGTGTGCCAGTGTGAGGATGGGCTCTGTGCCTGGGGCAGTGCAGGGACTCCTGGGGTGGCCCTTCCCTGTGCTCCCATCTGCTGCCTCCTGTCTGAGCCCTCTTTGTGCCCCCCCACCAGCTGCCCACCCCTCCCTGCACCCCGCAGGGACCTGCTGGCTGCTGGAAGTGACATGTGTGTGCCTGGACACACAGCCTGGCATGAGACACTGCTTATTTATGGTGGCAGTGCTGTGGATGGGCCACTCTTAGTCTGCTCCCCAGAACTTCTACCTCTAAACAACCTCCTGGTGCGTTCAGATCAGGTCACATTTTCTCTCCCAGCTAATTCCTCCTGTCATTGTCCTTGTGCCAGGCCCGACGGGCAGCGGGAAGACGACTTTTATCAGCGAGTACGCACTGGACCTGTGCATGCAAGGGGTGTGCACGCTCTGGGGCAGCTTTGAGATCAACAATGTCCGCCTGGCCAAGATCATGCTGACGCAGTTTGCTGCCCAGCGCCTGGAGGACCAGCTGGAGCTGTATGACGAGTGGGCTGACCGCTTTGAGGACCTCCCGCTCTACTTCATGACCTTCCATGGCCAGCAGAACATCAAGTATGGTCCCACACCTTCATCCCCGGTAGCGTTTACCCCTCATGGCGTGTGCTTTGGGGCCCTGGGGAGCCAGGGCTTTTCTCCCTCAGTGAGCTGTTAATTTGGAGCTGGCAGGAGGCATGCTGGGGCTGGTCAAATCCGGGATTGGCATATGGGGACTACGTGGCTCAACTGGCTACATCCCTGCTGCCTCAGGGGCTGTGACAAACTCCTTTTGGGGTGGGGATGAGGGGAAGGGACCTGTCCCTGTGCTAGGTGGCTGCTCTAAAACCAGCCTCTGCCCCTGGCAGGATGTCTGTCCCCCTGCTCACCTGGCAGTGCTGCTTTTTGCTGAGGAGGGAGGATGGGCACCTCCAGCTCCTCTGTGCGCCCTGAGGGTCCCCACAGGGAGATCGTGGGATGGTGGGCAGGGGCTGTGTGGGTGGCAGCTGGGTCCTCCTGATCCAGCCACCCTTATCTGTGGGGATGGGGCTGCCCCTGTCATGTGGTGGAGGAGATGTGAAGATGGGACATGCCCAGGGCCCAGCAGGAGCCAGCCTAGTACCTCCCAGCTCTGCCTTGCCCTGTCCCTGTGCCTGGCTCAGCTTCCCCATCTCTGCCTCTGCTGATCCCAGTCTCCCTCTGCCCAGGACAGTGATTGACACCATGCAGCACGCTGTCTACATGTATGACATCACGCACGTGGTTGTCGACAATCTCCAGTTCATGATGGGACAGGAGCACCTCTCTGTGGACAGGTAGCCCTTCTCCAAGCTGCCCCTCCTTCCTCTGCCACCCTCCTTGCTGGAGCTGGCCCTGTTGGTGTCACGGCAGGGGCTGGGGACCCACACAGGATGTCCCCTTTAGTCCTGTCTGGCAGCCCCATTTCATTGAAGGGCGATCACTGCCCTGGGGAGGAAGAGGTGGGGAAGGGTGAGCTGGTTAGCTGCGATCCCTGTTGCACCCCATCCCCATGCCCACATGGGCCTGGCTGTCCCACAGAGTGTGAGCCTGGCCCCCATGGTGCTTCCTGCTGTGGGGCTGAACCTGGCAGCACCTTGCTGCCCCCCACCACTGGGCAGTGCCAGTCCCTGACCCCATTCTCACTGCCATGGCAGGATCGCTGCCCAGGACTACATCATCGGTGCCTTCCGCAAGTTCGCCACGGACAACACCTGCCACATCACACTGGTCATCCATCCCCGCAAAGAGGATGACGAGAAGGAGCTGCAGACGGCCTCCATCTTTGGCTCTGCCAAGGTGAGCTGGGCCGGGGTGGCCCCTCCTGTCCCTCAAGCACAGAGTGTTCCCAGGAAGGGGCTGGGAGGCGTCGGGCAGCTGTCCCCAGCTCCCACCAGCACCCTGAGTCATCACTGGGGACCCGAAAGGTGCTGTGAGGGGCAGGATGTCCCCAGGACTCCCGTCACCTGCTGAAGCGGCGTCCCCATTTGGCCAGGCTTTGGCAGGGAGGTGCAGACAGGGAGCAAACCCTTTGCCAGCTAACGCTCTGTCGGTGCTTTACGTGCAGTTAATTAATGCTCGCTGACTGTGAGTGGGATGTGGTATGAGATAATTAAAGGAGCCAGGGAGGGTGCAGGGATGGGCTCTCTGAGTGCTCCCGTATCACCGGCTGAAGCGGTGTCCCCATTTGGCCAGGCTTTGGCAGGGAGGTGCAGACAGGGAGCAAACCCTTTGCCAGCTAACGCTCTGTCGGTGCTTTACGTGCAGTTAATTAATGCTCGCTGACTGTGAGTGGGATGTGGTATGAGATAATTAAAGGAGCCAGGGAGGGTGCAGGGATGGGCTCTCTGAGTGCTCCCGTCAGCGTGGTGCTGAACAGCCCTGCAGTGGTGGGCAGGAGGTGCTCGCTCAGTGTCCCTGGCCCTCCTGTGCTCCCTTGTTTCCCCAGCCATGCTGCGGCTTCTGCTCAAACCTGTCTGCCCGATGGGTTGCTGCGATGTCCTGGGGGGAGACGGGGTTGGTGTCAGGGAGGTGCTGGAGTTGACATGCCCTGGGATACCCCATAACAAGGGCTCAGAAGAGCTGGGCAGGCAGCCCACGAGCAGTTCTGAGCCCTGTGACTCTGGCTGCATCCCCAGCACCCTCCTGGAGATGTTTTCCTCCCCCAGGCCAGCCAGGAGGCCGACAACGTCCTCATCCTGCAGGATCGTAAGCTGATGACGGGGCCGGGGAAACGCTACCTGCAGGTGTCCAAGAACCGCTTTGACGGGGACGTGGGCATCTTCCCCCTGGAGTTCAGCAAGGCCTCGCTCACCTTCTCGTCCTCCAGCAAAAGCAAGGTCCGGCTGAAGAAGATGAAGGAGGAGAAGGCACTTTCAGCCAAGAAGACTCCGGGAGGCTCGGGAGCCTCCAAGAAGCCATGAGCCCAGCAGGTCTCTTCTTCAGTCCATCAGGAGGGATGGGGACTGGTGCTGGGAGCACGGGGCTGGGGTACGCCAGCCCCTCTCCCCAGGAGCAGCAGCCACGCTGTGGCCCTTCCTTCTCCCACACAAACAAGCCTCTTGGCCACCAGCACAGTGTCTCTTAAGACATGGGGCCACCGTGAGGAGGAGTGGGCTCATCCCAGAGAAGAGCAGCCAGGGGAGGGTGCTTTGGCAAATGCTGGCTGCTCCATACTGGTGCTGAGTGCTGGGAGCGCAGCGGGGGGAGTGGAGTCAGCATGCTGTGGGCAATGGGGGGCAGTGACCCACAGCCCTGGGGTTTGGGAATCTCTGGACCTGGGGTAGGTCGTTAAATTGTGGCTAAAATGGAGCCGAAATCCCAGGCTGTCACTGATGGGAGGGACTGTGTGGGGGGACTGTACAGAGGGACACACGGTGGGACACCACCACCCCCCGCCCCGGGTGGGAGGGGGGGGAGTCTCTGGGCTCGATCCCAGCTGGGATGGAGCCAGCGAGGGGAAGGTGGTGGAGAGAAGTGCAGGAGATTGTGGATGGCTCTTGCCCCGGGGCTGCGCACTCTCCATGGGATGTGGTGGGAGGGTGGGAGCTGGACCCCCGTGGCATCCCTGGGTGGGTTGAAGGCAGCTCTAGCGTCCTGGTGCTCTCTGGTTCTGCCTGCTCATCCGATGCCTGACCTGGCCGCCTTTGCTCAGGGTCTCCCCAGGTCCCTTTCCCCGGGGAGCATCACCAGCAGTAAAACCTCCAGGGGAGCAGCCCTGCCTTGCTCTGCTGGGCTGGGGGGTGGCCCCCCCCGTGCCCTCTGGGCAGCAAATACTGTGACCTGGCCAGTCCTCACCATGGTGGGATGAGTCCATGGATGGATCTTGGTCTAATTCCCCCTCACCCCCCCTTTTTTTTTTCCCCACCCCTTTTCTAGTTTTATTAAAGCAGAAATGTGAGTGCTGTTCCTGTGCCACTCTCCCCATGGCCCCGGGGGACCCTGGGGCTGGAGTGGGGGGACCCCAGAGGGTTTGGGGGTGCCGTGCCAGGGGATGCTCCCGCTGTGCATCCCAGCCCTGGCACGTGGGTTATTACCTTCCTCCGCGCCGGGCATAGTTTTAACCTGAGCCATAACGAGGGGCCGGGGCGGGCAGGCGGTACACACCCAGCCCCGGGTTTCCGGGGTGCACCGGCTCTCCGGGGCCTGGAGAGCACCCTTGGGTGCTGCCTGCACGGGTGTGAGGACCCCCCCGCCAGCGGGGATGGCAGACGAGGGTGCTGGGGAAGCGGAGGTAAGGTGGGGGAATGGTGGGGGAAGACAGGCCCCCACGCAGTCAGGTCAGGGTTTGCATGGGGGCGTGGGGGGGGCTGTGGGTGTCCCCCCCAGGGCCCCTCCGGCTCCCTGGCCCAGTGTCCAAGCGATCTAGCCTGGGGTGGGGGCTGTCACGGGGCTGTGGGGTGAAAGCGGGGTAGTGGGAAAGCCTGGGACCCCCACCTCCCACCCATCCCTCCTTGGAGCTGGAACGGGGTGATGATGCCGAGCTGGGGTGGGGGGGACCCCGGGCAATCCCAGCCCCCCCGTGGGGTGGTGGGCA